TTTCAGTAATACTATTTTAATAATATAAAATAAATTAAAATTAAAACCCCATAAACAAATAATTATTCACATTTCGAAAATGTATAATAATTATTCGAATAAATTGAAAAGTTTCGTAAATTTTTTGTTTTTTGACTCCTCTCGAAAAATGGAAAATTATTTTCTTTATTACGAAATTAGTTACGAAATTAATTACGAAGTTTTGTGCGCGGTAAAAAAAAATCTTCACTGGAAAGAGTATATATATATATATATTCATTAGGCTTATCGTTCTCTATATCAAATTGAAGCTTTCTATTCGATTAAAATGTTTTTCATGTTTTGCGTGAACAGTTGGGCGCTGCTTTAATTAATCGAGTGTTTAAATTAATTAAGTCGTGACAAGATGCATACATATATATAGTATAGGACATCCGCTTTATAATTGGTATTCAAAACCAAACCGTTATCGACTATCGCACTTGAATAGTCATATCGAGGATGACTTTGTTCATCGGCTCCTGGAGGAAAATACTCTGATGAAGTATTCCACTTTATCAATTTTGTCACACGCACACAATCCTTCCCTTTCTTTTTATATTTTACACAACGCACCATTTCTCTTTTGATTTTTTAATTATTTTTTTTAATTAGAATAAAATAAGAAAAAAAAATTGTAAAACAATTTGAATACTCTTTTTCTCGTTCAAGAGAAAAAAACAATTATTTTTTTTTCTCGTTCAAGAGAGAAAAAATTATCTCTTTTTCTCGTTCAAGAGAAAAAAAAACCCTCTTTTTCTTGTTCAAGAGAGAAAAAAAATTTCTTTTTCTTGTTCAAGAGAGAGAGAGAGAGAGAAACATTAATATTATTATTATTAAGAGAGAGAAATGGAGGTGTGATGAAGCGAAGGAACAAATAGCTCCTCTCGCGAGCGCAGTTTCCCATATACGCAATCGGGTGTCCCATCGCGCGGTGGATACAATTAATTAGTAGCAGCACTGCAATTAATTGGTGCTCTCTCTCAAATCACCTTGTACTCTTCTGATATTCCAAGTATATAATCGCTGATCGTTGAAAGTTCATATTTCTAATTGTTTATTAATTGCAAACTGCAATTAAAAATTACAAACCTCTAAACGTCACTAATCAACCAGTGTAACTATTATTTCACGAAAGGTTAAATCACATCCTGCATTTATAACTTATAACATTGCAAAATCGTTCATTTTCTTCGATTATTATTCATTTTTCAATTTAGATCGCAATTTCGTATTTCCTGTTTCTCACCACGTCGAACATATGATTGATGCGATTTAATGATTAATATTTAAAAAATTATGAAGTAAATAAATAATGGTAGCAACAATATTAATATTAATAATATTAATAATAAAAATAATTATACCTAAAATTAATAATAAATTATTATTAACTACAATAATCTCCGTATTCTTTCGTCCGCAGTTTGAAGTTAGTTATATGCTTTTGTTTTTTTTTCTTTTAAAAAATATTGTTTGACAAATCAAAAATATGCTGGTATTTTTTCATGATTTTTATAATAAAATAATATTACAAATTTGACAATTTTTAAAAAAATTATGATTAACAAATAAAAAATATAACCATTTTGTTTTTTATACGCTTTTTTATAACAAATTTCGTTTGACTGATTTAAATTATACAAATTTTTTTGCTTTTTATTTATAATAAATTAATAATACTAGAAAATTGTTAATAGTTAATAAATTTTGATTAAAAAGTAGAAAATATAACCATTTTATGCATAATTGAAATTTTGACAAGAATTTTATTAAAATTTTTGAAAATAATTGAATTCCTGAGAAGAATTTTATTATTTATGAAAATAATTGAATTATTATGAAAATTTTATTTTAAATAATTGAATTCTTGTGGAAAACTTTATTTGGGAAAATAATTGAATTTTTCGATTGATTAATTAAAAAATATTATTAAAAATCATTGAAATTTTTTGATGAGTTTAATTATTTATGAAAATAATTGAATTCTTGCTTAGAATTTGATCAAAAATTTTTGTAAAAAATTGAATTTCCATGAAAAATTTTATTATTAGTGAAAGTATTTGAATTATTGTGAAGAATAGAATAAAAATTTTGAGAAATAATTGAGTTTTTCGAAAAAATTTATTCTAAATATTCTAAATAGTATTCTAAATTAATTGAATTCCTGTAGAAATTTTATTTTTTATGAAAATAATTGAATTTTGGATGAATTTTATCAATTTTTTTCTTAAATAATTGAATTCGTTTGCGAAATTTTATGAAAATAGTAAATATTAAAATTCATTGAATTGCGAAAAACTTTTGAAAGTAATTGAAATTTTGCATAGAATTTTATTTAAATTTTTAAAACAAATAATTGAAATTTTGTGATAAGAATTTTATTATTTTTTCAAATAATTGAATTTTGAAGAAGAATTTTTTTATTTCTAAAGAAAATAGTTGGGATTTTGTCGAGATTTTTTTGTAAATTTACAGTTGAATTTTGTGATAAGAATTTTATTACTTTTGAAAATAATTGAATTTCTGCAATTATTTGTAACTTCTTCGATCAAAATTCAATTTTTCTTTTTGGGTTTTTTAACTGAAATTCGTCTGTAAATCCATTATTTTTAATAATTAATTAAATATGACAAATTAAATGTGCCAAATTTAACTAATTTTAGAAGATTTTGAATTATTAAAATTTTTCAAAACTCTAAGTTAAAATCATTCAATATTGAAATTTTATAAAATTTTAAATTGTAACTGTTTGAAGTGAATTAATTTATGAAAATTGGAAACGTAACTCTTTTAAAGTTAGAATTTTCCTATGAATTCTAAAAATTTAATTTTTTACATAAAAATAAATATTGTTTTTTGAGATGGAAAAATTTTCAAAAAGTAATAAATTTCAGCAGTCGCGTGAGTCTAAGGCCTGATTTAATTTTACATAAAAAATGTCCATGTACTGAAATAATTAAAAATAATAACTCAATAAAAGAAATCCTTATTTTGCAAAAATTCATAAAATGAATGTTTTCATCAATAATTTTTGCGCTTTATCGAAGAAGAAATAAAAAACACTTGGGAACTACAGGAAATAATAAAATGTCTAGATTGCCGAGGGTAAATCGCTTTTACTTGCGCTTTGGAAAGTTTGCTGCGTTGAAAACGATCAACCATTATAAACATATACGTATATAGGGTGAAAAGCAACGCGAAGGAATTTATTCATGGACTCTCTCTCTCCTTCCTGACCCGTTTACGTTTGGTATGGAGAGCGGAGATTTTGCGAGAACAGAGTCTTCTGATCGGAGCCGCCACGAGATTAGAGGCTGCCAAATGAATTAAAAGCCAATTTTAATCAAAAGCGGACACCGACTTTTTAGGCACGATTACCCTCGATAATAACCGGTGGGAGGGACTCGCTAAGGATAAGAGACTATTGTATAGTGGGGCCAGAAGAAGAGAGAGAGAGAGGGGGATGAAACAAGGGAGAAAAATTTAAAGAGAAAATAAGGGGGAGGAATTTATCTCATATTTTACTCGTACGTGTTCCTATGTGGATATGATTTTTCAATTTTTTTCTTAATTTTTTTCTCTTTAATTTATTTGGTTTAAATAAAATTGTTCTCTGGGTGAGGGAGCGAAACTTGAACACGGTGTTAGGGATATTTTTCGAATTTTTTTTTTCTTTTTCTTTTTTTTTGATATTTCTAGAACAAAGGACACTAAGCACTCGCTTGACGTTCTCTTGGCGTGTTTCGTAATCTTGGTACGAAAGATGGTACATACTCATGAGTGGCCAGTGTGCACTTCGAAGTCCAAGTTCCAACGCTAAGTGGCAGAGTACACACGGGCCCGTCTGTGTCCCCTTCATTAGCACCAACTAGCCGCACGTCTTTCTTCTTTTCTTAGCGTCTCTCGCCTCACTCGGAAGTCTCTCTGTGTAGTAGTAAAATTTAAAGAAGAATCAGGAGAGGGCCTTGCCGAAGTAGGTACAACGCACGTCATAAATGTCTCTTCTTGGAAAACTGCCTCCCTCTCTTTTTCTCTCTTTGCTTCTTTTTCCCTCTTTCTGTCTTTTTCTCTCTTTTCCTCTATATTTCTCTGGTTCTGTCTTTTTCTCTTTCCCTTTTTTTCTCTCTTTCTGCCTTTTTCTCTCTTTTTGTCTTTTTCTCTCTTTTCGTCTCTTTTTCCCTTTCTGTCTTTTTCTCTCTTTCTGTCTCTTTTTCCCTTTCTGTCTTTTTCTCTATTTTTCTCTTTTTCCCTCTTTTTCTCTCTTTCTGTCTCTTTTTCCTTTTTTGTCTTTTTCTCTCTTTCTGTCTTTTTCCCTCTTTCTATCTTTTTCCCCCTTTCTGTATTTTTCTCCTCTTCTCTCTTTTTGTCTATTTCCCTCTCTGTCTCTCTTTTCGCCCCTTTCTCTCTTTTTTCTCTCTTCACCTCTCCTCTCATTTCCGCCTCTTCAAACACAAGATCGCAATTCGTCGCGAATGCCTATACACAGATTACGTGGAAACAGAACAAGTAGACGGTTTCTTTGACATCTTCAAGAAGTCTGCACAGGTCAGGCAAAAAAAAAAACATGTTAAAATTGTCAAGAGGAATTTTGCATCGATAATTGTCCCTGTTTTGCAGAAGAATTTTTTTTTTTTTTTTTTGACTCGTTTGCTCAATAAACGGTATTTTTAAAAAATATAGTGTCAATTTTCAAGTATTCTCTAATTATTAATTTACTACTTTACACAAAAAATAGAAATTCAATTCTGAGAATTGAAAAAACTATTATAGGAAAAAAATGGACTTTTAAGAATTAAAAAAAACGATTAGGAAAAAATTGACTTTTAAGAATTAAAAAAAAAACTATTAGGAGAAAATTGACTTTTAAAAATTGAAAAAAAAATATTTCAGTTTTTGCCCATAATATGATTTTGATTATTCGAAAAAAGAAAACAAATACAAAAAAAAATTAATGAATTTGTAATTTTCTTCTGTTTCAGAATCGTTGACGACACAATCAGAGGATTTTAGTAGAAAGCTATATATCCTTGCCGATAAGAGTCAAAGATACATTTGCTTCAACAAGAAGTGGAAACTAGTCGGCCTGGTAAATATATTTTACTTTGTGAATTTTTTTTTTTTTTGCAATTTTTATTTTACTTACTTTAAATTCTTACTTAGTTTTCTTGTCTCTTCATACTTTTATTTGCAACTTAGAAATGTTGTTTGGTCATCCAAATTTACAATTTATTACTATCCTGAAATTCAAATTTAGTATTTGAAAATTTAGTAGCAGAAATTAGAGAATTGAAAAATGTAAATGCAATTAAATAAGAATTAATTTTCTTTCTTGCTTTTCAATTAAAAATTTAATAGCAAATTAGAAAATTGAAAAAAAAATTAAAGAATTGATTTCCTTTTCGTTTTTGAATTCAAGAATTTAGTAATAAACTAGAGAATTCAAGGAATTAAAAAATGAAAATTGAATTGAATTAGAATTGATTTTTTTTGCTTTAATATTATAAAGTTTAGAAAGAAAAATTTGAGAATTGAAAAAAGAAAATTCAATTAACTAAAAATTAGTTTCTTTTTTCGCTATTTCATTAAGGTTTTAATAGCAAATAGAAAATTGAACAAATAAATTAAAGAATTGATTTCCTTTTTTGTTGTTGAATTTAAGAATTAGGTAGCAAACTAGAGAATTTGTGAATTGAAAAATAAAAATTAAATTAGATTTGATTTTTTTACTTTAGCATTAGCAAATTTAGTAGGAAAAATTTCAGAATTGGTAAAAAAGAAATTGGAATTAAAGTAGATAATAATTTCTATATTTTTCTTTGAATTACAAAATTTAGTAGCAAATTAGAAAATTGAATAATAAATATTTAATTGAATTCATGTTTGTTTTTAATTAAAAGATTTAGTATCAAATCAGAGAATTGAAAAATTGAAATATTAGAAGAAATTCTAAAATTGAAATAGAATTTTAAATAATTCAATTAAAATTAAAATAGAACTTATTTTTTCCCTTTAGTTTAGAGAATTTATTAGAAATCTAGAGAATTGAAAGATAAAAAAAAATTAATTAAATTCCTTTTTGTTTTTAAATAAACAAATTTCGTCGTAAATTAGAGAATTGAAAAATTAAAATGAAATTGAAATAGAATTGATTTTTTTCCCTTAATTTAGAGAAATTATTAAAGAAATAAAAGAATTGAAAAATAAAAAAATTAATTGAATTCCTTTTTGTTTTTGTATGCAAAAATTTTGTAGAAAATAGGGAATTGAAAAATTAAAATACAATTGAAATAGAACTGATTTTTTTCTTCTTAAATTTAGAGAATTTATTAGAAAATTAGAGAATTGAAAAATAAAAAAATTAATTGAATTCCTTTTTGTTTTTGAATAAAAAAATTTCGTAGTAAATTAGAGAATTAAAAAATTAAAATGGAATTGAAATAAAACTTATTTTTTTTCTTTTATTTAGAGAATTTATTAGAAAATTAGAGAAACAAAAAATAAAAAAATTAATTGAATTCCTGTTTGTTTTTGATTACAAAAATTTTGTAGTAAATTAGAGAATTGAAAAATTAAAATGGAATTGAAATAGAAATAGTTTTCTAAAATTGAAATAGAATTCTCGAGTTGGCAGAGAATTATAGAAATTAAATAATTTTTTTTTACTTTTGAATTCAAAAATTTTGTACTTGTATCAATTCTGAGAATTGAAAAGCAAAAAAGAATTGAATTAAACAAATTTAATTTCTTAAAGAATTGAAATAGAAAATAGTTTTCTAAAATAATTGAAATAGAATTCTTTAGTTGAAAGAGAATTATAGAAATTAAATAAATTCTTTTTTGTTTTTGAAGTCGAAAATTTTGTAGCAAATTTGAGAATTGAAAAATTCAACTGATTTCTTTTCTGCTTTTTTTATAAGAAATAATTGAAGCATAAAAATTGAATTAATTTTTGTTTTTGCTTCTGAATAATAGAATTGCTAGTGACTAATAATAATAATTGAAATAATAATTGATAATAATTTATAATAATGGATAATAATAAATTAATAATAAATAATAACAATTGAAAAATTCAAAAATAAATTGAACTAAAATTGCAAAATAATTATATTTTAAAAACAAAAAAAAATTTTTTTTTGCAGACCAAGAAGCACAAGGGTCCGATGTGTCAATTCTACGAAGTTTATAACGGCTCGTACCTGAGGTATCGAAGTGCAGCGGACAGTTCACGATATCTTGGCTTCAATAAAGCGGGAAAACCAATAAAAAATCCACACGGCCGACAGGAGTGTTATAATTTTATCAAATACAATCCAAATTCAGATATTGAGAAACACAATAATAAAGTAACAATGAATATGGGCGCGCGAGAAACGCGCGAGCCATCGACAAATTTACAATTAAAAAAGGCGTCGACAAATTTGAGGGCTGCGAAAAATTCCCTACAATTAGGCGGTCGAACAAGGCAAATGGTGACGATGCATCGTCATCGGCATTCAAATCGATGGAAGTTACGCGAGGAGGATCATTCCATATTGCGAAGAAGGCACGGGAGTCGTCTCTTTCTTCATGCGAGCAAGTATTGAGCCGTTTTACGACTCGTGGATCAAGACTGCCTCATCCGTGAGATCCTGAGACCCTCCGAGTATATACATAAATTTATATATTTATAAATATTTATAAATTCAAAAAAAAAATAATATTTCTAAATTTTTTCCATTTATAAATTTTTTAATTTATAAATTTAATTTATAAATAAAATATTTATTTTACGTATATAAATATTTATGAATCGAATATTTATAAATTAACGTATATTCATAAATAAATTATTTATAAATATACGTACATGCGTCTTTGTGTGAATAAATATATAATTATACACATAAACAAATATATTTAAATATATGTTTACAATTATATATTTATTTGCCCTTTTCACAAATTTATATACGTATTTTTTAAATATATTTATACAAAAATATAAATATATTTATTATAAATATTTATATATATATTTATATATATATTCGAGTTTGTGGGACGTCCCAGGAAAAAAAAAATCCAATCGGCTAAACTTCAAGTCCGGTCGGAGTTGCGTCTGCCCGAAAATTAAAGTCTAGCATTTAAAAAATAAAAACACAAAAATCAGTGTTCAAAACACGAGAGAACTTTAACAAAAAGAAAAAATAATAATTAATAATAATAATAATTAAAAGAAAAGAAGAAAGAAAAAAAAACATGCAGCGAAAGATTCGACAACGCGCCTTACGAATATCACACGAGAAAATTCTTCTAATCGGATTCTAATAATGAGCTTTTATACTATTTGTAAACACAGAGAGCAGCAAGATGAGATAATGTACACGACGGTGAAATTTAGAGTATAATTTTTAAAAAATGAAAAGAAAAAAACATCCCTGCATTTAAAAAAAAAGGTATGAATCAAAGTGGTATTAATTTTATCCCCTCGGAAAATAATTAATTGAGAGAGAATTTTTTTTAATAAATATAATTTATTATATTTTTTATAATAATTTATGATTTTAATTTTTACTGTTTGTTAGGTTTTTGGTATTAAATTCACAATGGGAATTTGGAATATTTAAGGAAAAATTGATTTTTTATCCGCGAGGAATAATTTGATCTCTATTTGGGAAATTTTTATTTATTTTACTTATCTTTCCCCCATTTTTTATTTTTTGACAGTATTTTTTTAGTGTTTCTATTTTTCTATTGTTTTTATTACTATTTTTTACTCCTTTTGCATTCTTTTTTTATTCTTTTCTTATTTTTTTATTCTTTTAACACTTTTTTTATTTTTCTATTACATTTGAATTATTTTTTAATTTTATATTAATATGATTTTGTTTATTATTTTTTTTTGTAGTATTCGTAATATCTTTCTATTATTTATTATTTTTTTTACAATGACATTATTTTCTTATTTTTTTCTAGTATTTATATTATTTTTTTCTACTTATTCAATTTTTTGATTATTTTTTTCTAGTGTTCATATTATTTTTTTTATTTTCTATTTCAATATTCATTTATGAACAATAGAATTCATGTTATTATTTTTCTATTATATGTAAGTATTATTATTTTTCTACCAATTTTTTTCTATTTTTCTTATTATTTTTGTTCTTTCATTCTTATTTTTTTTATTTTTATTAGTTAATAACAAATTTTCGTTTGAAAAAAACTATTTAAATTCATATTTAAGTAGAAAAAGTTTATTATTAAAAAAAAATAAGAAAAATAATAACAAATTTTGGTTGAAAAAATCTATTTAAATTTATATTTAAATAGAAAAACTTTATTATTTAAAAAAAAGAAGAAAAATAATAACAAATTTTCGTTTGAAAAAAACTATTTAAATTCATATTTAAGTAGAAAAATTGTATTATTTAAAAAAAAATAAAAAAAATAATAACAAATTTTCGTTAGAAAAAAAATATTTAAATTCATATTTAAATAGAAAAAGTTTATTATTTAAAAAAAGAAAAGTAGTAATACTCACATTATTTAAAAATAATTTATTATCAAACATTATTTATTGTAAAAATACTACTTTTTTTAATTTTAATTTTGTTGATCGAAATATTCCTCTCATTTAAAAAATAAATAGTTTCCCTCGAAATCCCCTTTTTTAATACCGAAAAAACAACAAAAAAAACGAAAAATTCTCTTTAATGTTTAAAAATAATAATGAAAAAATCTCTTTAACGTGTAGCGTGATGAAAATGAACGCCGCATGAAAAATTGGACTGATATTTAAAAAAACACAAATAATATCCGCTTAAGCAATTTTTTTTCGCACCTCGCAAAAATTTTTTTTGCACTCTTGACAATTTTTTATTAAAAAAATTCTTCACAGAGAAAAGCGAGTGTTGTTTTTGATGCGGGTAAATTTTGGTAGGGTAATTTTAGTGAGGATAAATTTTCTATAATAGAAAATTTACCTTATTTTCAGTGTTAAAATAACACTTCCGAGCTAAAGTTTGATGCAGACACTTTTAACACCGAATTCAGTGTTAAAATAACACTCACTTTTTTCTGTGTTGTCGAATTTTTGTCAAATTTCAAAAAAGCCCAAAGAAAAAGATTTTTCCACAAATTGAACTTGAATTTTCAAAAACACAAGTCCCGTTTGTACCGAAAATGTGAACCGACTTTTTTTGTTCCAAAGTTTGATAAATAATTTAAACAATATAAATTTGCTCTAATTTCCACTTTTATCGAATCCAAAATGCATCGAGTCAAGTTATTAAAAAAAAAAATTCAATTTGTATACAAGTTCAGTTCGTTCGGCTGATCACTAGCGACCAAAAACAGAAAAAAAAGAAAAGAAAAGAAAAAGAAAAAAAATGACTGTATTAAATTATATATGCTTCGCTGGTAATCGCTTAATCGTTACTGTCCTTGATTACTTGCGTATGCTGCGAGTCTTTCGTATATTTTTCTTGATAATCTTATCGCGTAATGATTATTATATTTGACTGACGAAAAAAGGCTTCGTGCTCCGGCCGTGATTCTGGTTGCTCGCGTCGCGCCAGATCAGCGCCAACAGTCAAAAAGAATGAGAAACAGAAGAAAAATAATATTAATTATAATAATAATAATAATATTAAAAAACAAATGAAGAAAATAAACAAAACCATAGAGTCAATGTGGGCGACGCGACGTGTGCGCTACACTCGTTATCTCCTTTTTGCGCATTTGTCTGCGCTATAGAGCTCAAGTCGCGCAAAAAAGAATTAAAAAAAAAAAAAAAAACTCTCGCTCGCTGTGCTATTATGCCGCCTAAAAATAGTATGTTAATGTGTTTGTACGTGTGCACTTGTATATATACACCTGTGATAATTGCAATCCTGTGGTTTTTTCTTTCGGAAACTTTTGTTTTGGGCTGAATTTTTTTTTTTTTTTTTTTTTAATAATTTCTTTTCTTTGGACATTAATATTTTTTGTGTATTACAAGTCGTTTTGTTTCTTTCGTTTTTGTTCGTTAAATAGAAATTCCATTTTTTCAGATATGAATTTTTAAGGAATCAATTCTGAATTTTCAATTGAAAAATCGAGATTCAATTTTTTTTTTTGAAATCAGAATTTTAATGAATCAATTCTGAACACATTATAATTTCTCCTTCAATACATTTTTATTTCCTGCTCCATCGAAGCGAAATCAAAGTTTAAAAATTAATTTTGTTAAACAATTTTTTTTGCAAAAAAAAAAAAAAAAAAAAAAAATTTACCACACATATTGTAAATTTTCATGTTTTCTTTTCTCCAATTCGTTTCTTCTTTTTTCTTCAATGTTCTTATTGTGAAATCTCAGACTCTCATTCCGACGCGATCATGTTGCTATAAAATTCAATGGCCGATAAACTGTAAACTGGCGATATTGTCCAATACATTCCTCACTTTGAGCATTAAGCATTTAGTATATACTTTGGAGAAAAATGAATTCCGTGAAAATCCTTTAAAAACAGGTTTCGCATTTTATTATATGGAGGAAATATAAATGTATGGTCAAAATCCACAGTATTTTTCAGGAAAAAAAAAAAAAAAAAAAAAAAAAAAAAACCATGGATGCAAATAATAACTGGTGTATATGTATGTATGTTGCACTTGTGTGCGTATTTGCTTGTACGCGTGAGTGAGAGAGAGAGAGAGAGAGAGAGAGAGTGAAAAAAATAATGAGTGTGTAATATGTATGAGTGTGTGTAATATATATATATGTAACTTTACCGCGAATGAATTTAATCCTTAGGATGCTAATCGCAGACTGTATTACTAGGTTAGGTACAGAATATGACGTGATGACGATCCAAGGAAGAGTTTCACGATTTCCTCATCATCAAATTTTATACGGATCTTTTTATTGGTAAATTACACTTGAGGTACTTATTTATAATATAAATCGATTGATAAAATAGTCGAGTTGATTTTAAGGAATTTTTAACAGAAGAAACTACATTTTTTCTCGTCTGAAAATTTACTTTTTTTTGGGATTTTTTTGATTCAAAAATTTTTTGACTGTAGTAAACTACAAAATAAGGAAATTTTCGTTTGTAGTTTACCTTAAAAAAAATTTTTTTTGTAGTTTAGTACAGAAAAAAATATTCTTTGACAAACTACCGTAAAAAAAATTTTTGTTTTTCAAAAACTACAAAAAGTGTTTGTCTCCAGTAAACTACAGGAAAAAATGTTCTTTTTTATTAAACTACAGAAAAAAATTTACATCTCTAATGAACCACAGAAAAAGAAACTTTTCTTTTTTAGTAAACTACAGAAAAAAATTTACTTCTCTAGTAAACTACAGATAAAGAAAAAGAAACTTTTCTTTTTTAGTGAACTACAAAACAAATTAAATTTGCATCTTTAGTGAACTACATAAGAAAATTTTTCGTCTTTAGTAAACTTTGGAAAGAGGAATTAGTAATAAACTACAAAAAAAAAATGTTGGCCTTTAGTAAACTACGGAAAAATTTTTGGTCTTTAGTAAACTACAAGAAAAAAAATATTCGATTTTCCCAAAAAAAATTTTGATTTTTGGTAAACTACAAGAAATGAAAATATGATTTTTCAAAAAAAATTTGTTGCTAGTAAACTACTGAAAAAATAAATTCTTTTGTAATAAACCCCAGAGAAAAAAATTCCGTTTATCGTAAACTACAGAAAAATATTTTCTTTTTATTAAACTAAAG